TTATATTTTAACAATTATAGCTTATGTAATGAATAACTAAAAATATTGTTTTATATTTTAACAATTATAGCTTATGTAATGAATAGCTAAAATATTGTTTTACTTCTGAACAACTAAGTTTATATAATAAATAATTAAAATTTTGTTTTACTTCTAGGTAATTATCTGATGTTTGAGACGTCAGTGTTTACTGTAACACTTATTATCTTAGTATGACTGACTACTATTACATTTTGTATTGTCATAGAATGTAAAAAGTACAATGTTTATATGGAAAAACAAGACATTTTCACAAAACCTTGAGGGCAAAAAACAACACAAACCACCTTTGTTGGTATACAATTGCATCTTAAAGTAACTGATTCGTTTGGAAGTTTTCTTTGCCACTTCCTATACCCTTCACAAACGAAGATTTGATATCCAGCTATTTTTTGTAATTTTGTTGAGTCGTATTTATGCTTCTATGTTTTAACTCAGTTCTAAAAATGTTTGGTTTCGAAGCTCTCAAAATACAAACTTACTTATATCAAGTCTGGTTCTTTGCATTTGGAAGTCTTAGGTACGGATCTAATAATATCATAATATCATTTCTTCATTAGCAGTTAAACGTTTTTCAAAATAATCCAGGATTGTTTAATATTTTTCTTATTCTTCGTGCCAATATACACTTATTTACTTCTCTCTCTCTGAAAACTATTCAAACTTAAGCGAACAAATTGTTATTTGGTTTGTTCGTTGTCAGCAGCTGCTTTCTTTTTGCTTAGTTCTGTGATTGGTATTTACAACTTGAACAGCGTCTTAGACAACACACATAGGGCTTAAACCTTTTTTTTAACTTAAACTTTTCTATATATATATATATATATATATAAACATTCGTCTATAACCGTTCGGTCACAATAAACATGTTTTAATGTTGCTGTTGTTACAAAACAGGCGCAGTGTATTCTGTTGCTCCTTAAATTTATTAGGTTATTGGCTGAAAACAGCTAGGTAAATCAACTTAGAACAAAAATATTATCATCCGCTCAACCAACAACAACAAATTATTCCAATTAAGTTAAACGTCATTGTTGCTATTACAAACATGCCCAATCTTATCCTTTCGCCTCCGGTGGCACAGCGGTATGTCTGCGGACTTACCACACTAGAAACTTGGTTTCGATACCCGTGGTGGACAGAGTACAGATAGCCACTTGTGTAACTTTGTACTTAACTACAAACAAAACCATCTTCTCTATTTATTTTAGTAAACGCTTGTACTTTCTAATTATTGTGACATTCTTGTGCAAGAGCGTCCTTTCTTTCATCTTTTGTCTATTAGTTTATTTCAAGTGCTCAACAGCATAAGCCGGGGGAATTACTACACCCACTTTTTTTATTTATTTGGATCTTTCTAATTGGTTTGTTGACACTTTTTGGACTATATTTAGTGGAAAAGTCAAATCACACGCAAAGGTCTACTCGATGAGGCCTGTGTAAAACAAAAACAACAACAACAAAAACATATCCTTAACTAAACTAGTGATCCACATAACACCTCCTTTTTAATTCAATCTGTCACATATTTCGCTGGAATGGAACTTTATATCTAACATATTAGGTTAAATATAGTATAAGTCACACTTTTGGAATAATATTAGTGCA